CGCCCCCCCAGCCACTCCCACTGGGCCACCTGCATGGTGAGGAGGGCTGCCTCCAGCTCCACCTTTTTTTTTGGTCTTATTCCTCCCTGGGAACTGCTTGGTGAAACTTTCTCCTTCCTGATGTGTTTTTATTCAGTTGCTTTGACTAGTTCTTAAATCTCAGTTGTCCTTTCATCACTGAGGCACCCCAGTAAAGCAGTGGTGCGTGTGGTGGGTACCCCCGTGCATTTGGTGACTTGTCAGGGCTGTAGCCTTGTCTCACTGTACAGACACTGGTCTCATTTGGACCGTTTGCCTTTTCTAACTGATGGAGGCAAGCCTGGCTTCATCTGGATCCTCTTTAAGCCCATCATAAATTTGTTGATAGATTTATCCAGTTTTAAAGATGTCCTGTGTGCTTAGCTTGATGTTTAGTTACCCCTGAAGTCAGAAGTGTGGAGACAGTTGTGTTAAGTGTACGCCAGGTGAAATGCATCCTGGTTCTCAGCCACTGGCAAGGGGTGCTGCTGTCTCCTGGGAGCAATGGCTGTTCTGTCTCTGCCAAGTTGGCTGTAGGAAGTAGGCTCCGGGAAGCCCACTTCAACCATCCAAGAAATTTCATGGTCCTCTCCTGCCTCTGGTGTGAGCTATCTTAAGGAGAAGTCGTCCTTTATCATCTGTCAGTTGGGGAAGAGAACTTGGATCACACTTGCTTTTGCTTGAATTATGACCGCAGTGGTCCACAGAAGTTGGAGTATCATCCTTATCTTTTAAGTAAGACAAAATGCGGTTAGTTTTGTAGGGCAGCACTACTGTGCAGGTGAGTGTTCAGCTGATTCTACGTGGTAAATGATGTTAATTGCACATCAGTATTTTTACAGGTGCCTTGAAATATGTTTTGAATATATGTCTGATTTTTTTTTTTTCCAACTTGTAGTATCAAAGACTTATAATTCTGCCCTTTCCTAATTTCTGGTTGCCCTCAAGAGTTTTAATTGCATTTATGTTATGAAAATTTATTCACGTGATCCCAGACTTGGTTCCATGAAGTCTGTTCTTCACTCAGTCTGCAAGATGGGCAGTTCTCAGGAAGGGACTGTGTTGAAAAAAGAATGAGAATCACTTCTTTCTTTCTTCTGGAACTTGAATGAAAGTGATAGTATGGCAGAAAAGAAAGCTGGTTTAAAATTAGGCAATGAGTGCTGGATAGGAGAAATTACTGTAATGCAGATTTCTTTAATGATAATGCTGAGTAACAGTAAAACTGAATTTTTAACAGATGGTTACGTAGGATATTTCTTTGTGAGCTGGGTGGATGCTGAATTTTTAAAAATGTTCAGTGCACAAAGTTGCAACTGAGTTTAATGTATACTGTCGGTATCAACAGGCTTTGTAGCTGTACTCTAAAAAGGATGAGTACAAAGTTTAAAATATTTTTCTGCTTAGCTGTAAACTTAATTTTTCACTGATTCATGCATGATTTGAAATAAGTCTATTTTTTTTCCTTGTCCCATAGAATGGGAGCAATGCTGCAAGGCCCTAGGAAAATGTAGGGGTAGTCATGAACATGCTAGCTTTGTGTGTGTGCAATTTATCTTTTAGAGTGGCATTCGGAAAGGCTCCTCTCTACGAGGGACATTGAGGAAATGAGTTTTTTCCCCTCTTCTTGTCAGATTTTCTTGTCAGTTCAGAGGCTACTGGTTGAGCTGTAAGTAAAAAAAAACAACCCACACCAAATGATAAGCAATAAACAGACAAACAAAAAACCCTACCACCAGACCTTAGGGAACGCTATGGAGTTGCCTGATTCTTTGAGCACCACCAAGCCTCTAGACAGGGCGCCCGCAAGAGAGAAAGAGCCGCCTCGCAGGCGGCGTGGTCCTGCTCCGCACGAGGGGCAGGGTCCCTGTCGCAGGAGCTGCCTGGTGCTCTGGGGGTTTCTCGGGAAACTTTTCGGTCTGCAGTCTGAATCTCATAACACGCGCGCCACACGGGCGTTCTGAAAGGAGGAAATGGACAGTGTTATTTGAGGTTAATGCCTTTTTTTTCTTAAAATGGTGTAGTTCAAAAGCCAAAATAGTTCATGAGTCTTGTGGTTGCAGTTAGAGGTGAATTTACTGTCCTAGTGAATTTTAGAGGTGTAATAAGTTTCTTTGCGTGTTTGGTGTCAGCGTGGCCTCTTACGTAAGTATATGGGGATGAAGTTCTAGTTGATCACGATGTTATGAGTGAAATAGGTGAGCGTATTTGGAAAGACTTAAGATTTTTGGTTTAATTCCTCATTTGTAGCACATTCCGTGCTGTGTAACAGTGAGAACAGTACAGGTTAAGAGTTACTTTCTGTGGTCGTCAGTTTGCTGTGTCCTGTGTGCTCCAGGGAGCAGAGCACTGCCCGTGGCGTTGGGGGTCCGTGGGCTGTCTGCACTGGGGAGGTTTTGAAGATCATGAGGGCAGAAATGGCAGTAGGAGCTACACGAGTAAGGAGATTAGGAAGTTCAGGGAATTAACAACTGAAACATGCTCCTGTCAACACAAATACAGCTTTCAAATACCAAATGACTGGTATTATAAGTCAGAAAAATAGGATGTATTTATTCTGTGAAACTGTTGGGGGTGAGTTGGACTATCTTTCTGCCCTACAGGTAACTTCCAGACAAATTCATTTGGGGAAATGGTTCGCAATTTATATTTGTTCTTTCATGGTTTACTTTTTCTGAGGAGTGAGTGTGAGGACTAAAAACCCTGTGGGAAGGGGCATTGCTCACTCTCTTCCTGCTTAGAGGGTGACCTCTGCTTTTAGCTTCCTTTTCACTCCTTCCTTAGATGGCAGAAACTATTGTTTATTTTTGATACGTGCAAAAGGCCTGTGCCATTTTAAATTCTTGCAGAACAGCCATTTCGTGGACTCGAGAGTTCAGAGCTCCCCGTTTGTTTCCTTATAACTGAATGCAGCAAATAAAATTTGCTATACTTTCTGCTATTTCTCTAGGTAGGTATTTCTCGTTCAGGACTGCTCCAGGCTTTTAGTCTTAGTCCTTTTTCAGCATAGAAATAGAGGGATGGAAGGTAGTGAGCTTTTGTGCAGTGTTTTAGAGTACCACAAAACTGGTGTTATCTTGTGACCTGATAGTCTGCATCACCAACAAGTGACCCATGAACTTGTAGTGTGCTTTTCCCTGCTCGCTGCCTCTTCCCCAAGGGGACAGGGAGCGTCTGGCTTTGCAGCAGATGAAGCTGAAATGAGCAAATTCTGCTTCTCTCTTTCTTTTTGGATGCCTTTTACAGAGCTGTCTGGAAGCAAAAGTAATTGCTGCAGATTTGTCTACATAGAGATGAAAAGGGAGCTGGTAGGATGGGCAGGCAGCGCGTCACCTGTGTGTGTGCAGCCCAGGCTGGATTGGTTTTTATCTCTCTTGACATAATGTTGTGTTTTGAGGCAGATGTTTGCTACCGAGGAAGACAGTATTTTTCTGTTGCTGCTACAGATGTCTTGCATAACTTTGACCAAGATGTGAGCTGCTTTCTGTGGAATAGGAATAGGCTTTTCTTACCTTGCAAAGGGATTGTAAGCATAAGCTTCTTGTATATTGTATATTTGTTTGCCTATCAAAGTAAGGGTGCAATACAGCAACACTGATACTGCCCTATGGGACATTAACAAGGACTTTTTTTAGTTTTGGTTGACAGAGGATCTCCAGGAGGCTAAAGCAACCCAAAGAGGTGCCATCATATTTTCTTCTGATATTTCTTCTGACTTTGTAGCGTGCAATAATAAAGCAATGCATTTAGTATAGTTTTTACTTAACCAGAACCTTATTCTTAACTCTGAGGAAAGTTACTGCTTTTGACCTTACAGCTGTGTAATGAATCCTTCCGTTCCAGGAGAAAGCTCAACAGAACCTAGATCTGGTTAAGGCTTTACGGGAGACTGTAGAGAGGTTAGCATCACATTTATGCAGGCACAGAGTGTAGAGGTCAGAGATGGCAAGAAACATCAGGAGGATATATTACTTTGCTACCCAGTTGCTGCCAAAACTGACAGTTGTCTTGAACAGAACTTTATTAAAACACTTTAAATGAGTGCTTTGTATCTCTGATTATTCCGTCACTGTAGCAGATGTTCAGATCAGATGCTGTCATTAAAAAAAGAGTTCTACTGAAGATGCATTTGTTTTTCAGTATCTATACATTTTTTTCTAAATGGACTAAATACTCGAAGCAGTACTTTAGACAGTGACAGTCAACTAGTCAATAAACCTGCTCTCGGCTATCACTGTCTTTAGCTGTGAAGAGTGCAAAATGGTCAGTGAAGACCAACTTTGTTCTTTGAAATTCTCTGGCTCTGCTAGCTCACTATTAAATGGTAGAAGTTAGTGTTGAAAAGCCACCCAAGTCCTTCTTCCTGCTCTTTGATTGCTCTTGGCAGATCAGAATTATCGAGAGAGCAATTGCAAGCACGTAATCTAGGTTTTAAAAAAAGCAGGAAAATATGATGCTTGGGACTACATAGCGACAAGTTTCAAAGGAATGGATACCACTCCTTGTAACGAACATATTTCAGCTATCGCCCCTCTAGTTTGTGTGTGTTCAGAGTGTTGACTTCTTTGTCAGACTTGTCCTGCATAGGGTTGTTGATAACTTGGAGAATGCGTTTTTAGCAAATTTTATATTGTTTAAGCTCTTAGTTGTACGAGTTCAGAATAAGTCTTTTTAAGTAGCACATTTCCAGAAGGGATGTTATTCACTGATGCTATTTTTCTGTGGAGTGTTTTTTGTAGCGGCTTTTCTGTTTGTTTGATATAGAAGGGCTCTTGTGATGGGGAAAGATGCTGCAGTTTGGGATTTTGACATAGGAAATACTCTCTGATCTCACCTAATGCAGCATTGGTTTCAAGAGCCTAGAAGGGATTGCTGGACACAGAAAGGGATTTTGGATGTGGGGAGTTCTTCTTCCCAGTGGACTGTTCTGCTGTTGGGCACAGCAGATGTTTTTGTTACTATGCCCATGAACTGGTCTCTTGAATTCAGCTTTTGTCTGGTTCAGGTGTGTAGAGGAGAGGAACAAATACAGTGATTGCAGTTTTCAAAATGTAGCCTCCGTACTGTGGTTGAGGGGTGGCTGTTCCAATATAAACAGCTCTCAAGATACTAGTAGTACACTGCACGTTCTTCCAGTTGTCCTTTTTCCCTTCATTCGTCACTCTAAACACTATTCAACAGACTCAGGAAGGACCTTGTTGTGGTTCTGTTGCTCATAGCAGTATTTGCTATGCTAACGCCTCCCTTATGTGATGCATGTGGAGTTATATTAGAAGTTTGGAAAATGGATATGTAGGTGCCATGTTAAACGTTCTATGCGACATGTTATCCTCTCTTTTTTAATTATTCTGTACTTTGCCAACTGCTATCACTAATATGGAAAAAAGGCACTGCAAAAATAATGGCATAATAATTTCTGGGGCAAGATGGGAAAAATTTGATGTGTGAATTCCTTCAGGAAAAGCTAGCCTAAAAAAAATCTGGCTGAAACCCGACCTGTTACGAGGATTCACATGCCAAATAAAACCAAATGTTGACTTGTGTTCTGCATAGTGAACAGGATTGGAGTGAGGCAGAGCATGCCGTTGTGTCCGTGCATATTGCAAAAAAGCTTCAGTAGTTTTCAGACCCATCAGCACCATTAATCGTTGGGCTCAAGTCTTGAAAGTGTTAAATAGGCATGCATGTTATTTTTCAGGTTTGGGATGTGAATTTTAAAGGTGCTCAGTCAGTTGGGTATTTTTGTTTTCATATCTTTTTCTACTGCCTACATCCGTGCTTATCTCTGTTAGGTGCCGTGCCGCACCCCAACCAGGTTACGCTTACCCCTGTGCAATAGCTTTGTTGTCTGTGGTGCTGGAGGGAAGTG